CAGTCTGGATAGTTCTTTAGCAATTAAAATAAGTAGTGCTTGAAGAAAGATTAGATGGAAAAAAGGTATCCAAATAAATCTGCAAACAAAAATGATTAACATAGCTGGTTGTAGTGGCACAGGCCTGTAATCCTAGCAGCTCAGGAGGCTGAGGCAGGAGGACTGCAAGTTCAAAGCCAGCCTCAGCAAACAATGAGGTGCTAAGCAACTCAGTGAGACCCTATCTCTAAATAAAATACAAAATAGGGCTAGGGATGTGGCTCAGTGGTCAAGTGCCCTTGAGTTCATCCCCGGGGTCGGGGGGGAGATTAAAATACATATGTGCACCTTGGATGAGGAGGAACCTTACAGTGAACAAGAAAAGGAACAGGAGTCTATTTATAGAGGTGACAGATTAGTAAAATGTGCAACTTTCTTAATAATAATGTGCAGTTGGCTTTCCATATTCACAGACTCTACATCCCTGGATTCAACCAAGGATCAAAAGTATTAAACAACAACAACTACAACAAATTACATCTGTACTGAACACACACATTTTTCCTTGTCACAATTTCCTAAACAGTATTGTGTAACAGTTGTTGATGGAGCCTCTGCATTGTATTAGGTATGATAAGTAATACAGAGTAACTCAAAGGATCTGGGAAGAGAGAAGGTTATGTGCAGATATCCTACCACTTTACATATGGGACTTGACCATCCAAGGATTTAGATACCCACAACAGGCCTTGGAACCAATCCCTACACATACTAAGAAATGACTGCATACTATTGAGAAAATTCAGTTATGATACTATGCATTAAGAAGCAACGCAGCTGTTAAAAATATATTGCTCTTTGAAATAAGGCAGATTCAAAGTCAAAGCTTATATATTTTCTCTTATATGGCTAGAGAGGAAAAAAAAAAAAAAAGAGGAATCTGATGAAAATAGAAGGGAGACCAGAAGGGTAGAGGGAGGAACTCTGGGGAGGAAGGGGGAGTTACTAGGAAATGAGATTGATCAAATTATCTTATGTGCTTATACGATACCAATGAATCCTACCATTATGTATAATTAAAATGTACCAATAAAAATATTGCTCTTGAAATGTATTAAGGATAACTGCTCATGACATAGTCTTAAAAAAATAAAGTTTGGATGATAAAATTCCAATTTTATTTTAAAAGAGCACAGCAGGGAGGATGTGAGAGGATGTACACGGAGCGCGGTTATCCTGGGGAGTACAACTGAGGGGTTCAGGGTTGTTTACATCTCATATTCTGCTATTATTTCAACTTGCTATAGAAAGCACATTGTTTTTACTTTTAAAAAAGCAGATAAGCAGGGTATGGTGGCACATGTCTGTAATCCCAGCTACTCAAGAGGTTGGGGCAGGAGGATCACAAGTTTGAGACCAGCTTGGGCATTATAGTGATACCCTGTTCCAAAAAAAAATGAAAAGAGTTGGGGTATAGCTCAGTGGAAGATTCATTCATACACACACACACACACACACACACACACACACACACACATATGAGAATAAAGAGAAAAGGGTAAAATATATATTGGGATATTTAGAATAATGACTAAAAGGATATTTGTAAAAAATAATCTCTTGGTCATTTTTTGTGTGTTGTTATATTTTCATTTATCTTTTAATTTTTTTGTGATGTGTGTGTGTATATATGTGTGTGTGTGTATACACACACACACACACACACATACACATATACATACATACACATATAGTTTTTTTGTTTTTAGTGCTGGGAATTGTGCCAGGGCCTTGTGCTTGCCACTGAGTGACATCCTCAGCCCTATGGTTCTTACTGATACACGCAACAGTGACATACTCATACATGTACATAACATAATTTGATCATCTCATTCCCCCATACCTCTATTCTTCAGCCCACCCCTCCCTTTTACTATTTTAAATTAATACATACAATGCCATACAAGCGGGCCTCATTGTGGTGCAGCCGTATACATAGACAGCTGACAACTCCCTGCTCTCGATCCCTTCCTCTAATCTCTTGGTCTCCTCCCATTTTCATGAGATCTCTGGGTCATTTTTATTTTTATTTATAAATTTTTAAAATATTCTAACATAAATGTTTAATATTTCTACAGTCAGAAAAATGTCACAGGGTGAGTAATTTACCCCACTGAGGGCACGATTTAAGTCTCTCTGGAAGATCAAAAGTCATAGGGTGAGATGCTCTTTAGAGATGTTGATCCAATTTCTTTTACTTGTGTGACACTCATGCTCACCTCTGTTGTTGCTGTGGCTATTTTATTATTTTTTTTAATGACTTCCAAACAACGTGGCAAAAAAAGGAAAATCAAGGCCAACCACAAAGCCAGCCTTCCTAAGACAAAAAGCCTCTGTAACCGAGGGGTGAAAACCTGAGCAGGAAGACGTGACTTCTGTCATGAATGACTTCAGCTGCTGGGGGCCAGAAATGTTAGAGAACAAAGAGCACGGAGGAGTCTCACTACCCAGTCGCCATTCCAGGGCTGGCATGCTAGGAACTTTATATCATCACCATGGGGACGAAGGACAAGGCCTCCCGTGCACCTGAAAGCTTCTGCAGCCTGAGGTCTCAGGTCCTCGCCACGCCTTTTGCTCAAGTGGAAACAAAAAGAAACTTTCCAGGAGTCTGGAAGGGCTGAGAGCAGACCAATGACCAGCAGCCACAGAAAGGGAAGAGGAGATGAAAAGGTGCGCCACCTGGTCACCCAGCGACAGGACACTGTGCACCAAATCAGGGTCCTTCTGTCTGCTGCTGAGTTTTTACTAAGGAGTTCAGGACCCAAGGAAATAGCAGTTATGTCTTAAAGACAATTTACAGCCAGCTGGCCTCTTCGCACCTGGCTGTTTGACAGCAGGGCATCAGTTCATAGCAGGGATTCTTCGGGCTCACAAGGCAAGCTGTCGCTCATGCAACCAGACCTTGGAAAGAGCACTAGGCTCACAGGCAACTCTCTCTGCCACTTCCCTTCCCCCTTTAATGAAAAACAACAGCCTCCTGGTCCTGGCAAACCCCTCGTCTCCAGGGGAAGGTACAGACCCACAACCCAAGTGGGACATGCCAGCTCTGGGTGTGAGATTAAGAACATTTTCTTTTTCCTTCCCTCTGGGCTAACTGCTGCAAGTAGCTGCCTTGTTGTCCCAGGCCGGGAAGTCTGGACACCCTTACAACGCTCTGGCTTAGGAAGACAACCATAGGCAAAGGGCTTCAGACTGTCTCCGAACCCATCTAAAGCATGAACGGCCAGGCTGCAGTTCTGACCAGAGGAACCTGAACCCGCTCTCCCAGGCCATTCTACATGGGGGTGGTCTGGTCTATAAGTCACCTTCTTAGAAACTGAAGGGCCCCGGAGCTGCCTTGCTCCACTCCATTTTGTTCTATTGTTAATTCTTGTTTATTCCCAGTGGATTGGGCCAAATAACTTTTAACAGGTGACATGCACTCCTGAACTAAAGGCAGAAAGTCCTTTTTTAGGAACAAGCTAATGATGGCTGGTGGCAGACAATTTTCCCAAGTGATAGGAGAGAATAGAGAAGTGAGTTGAGGGACGAAAAGGTAATGGAGACACGCTGCCCCCAGCTCCTTCATTTCATGGATCACAGACATTGATTGACACTCAGACACTCCCAAGGGGAAGCTCATATAACCAGTCATGAAACCAGAAACAAGTAGGTCACAGGGGCTGCTTGAGCTGGGGCAGAGCTTCTCACTGCCATGGGAGTCCACCCTCAGCCACTAAAGCCCACCACAGTGGTGTGCAGCCGCCCTCACCCAAACAGGGGAAGCTCCAGGCCAAAGCGTCCTTTGACTACCTTGTCTGGGATGACCCCCTCAGATTCCCCAGGGCCCAGTCTCTTGCTTGAGTCAGCATTTGGGTTGGTGAGGGGCCTGGGCTGCCCAACAGGCTCTAGGAAGCTCAGGACCCAGATGAGGGGTGGGGAAGAGGTCAGGTGACTCAGATGGGACTAGGGCTGGTCAGGAAAAGGCATCTCCCTCAGAACCGCTCATGGACTAAAAGGGAAGGAGAAAATCTTGACTAAGAGTGAGCCCCAGCCCCCAAAACAGAGAAATGACTCTAAGCAGATAACACGGGTGAGGCCAGCCTGAAGCAGGAGGCTCTGGCATACCGGGGAGGGAGGCTGAGAGGCAGGTGTACTGGAGAAATCAGGGAAGGAGATGTAAGTATCACAGGTGAAATGAAAGCTGTCTGCCTATTTGGCTACATCCAAAGAGTAGAGCTAGAGGTCAGCTGCCCAACCCTGGGGGCATGAATCTGTTGCCTGGTGACACTACCCAAAATATGCCCCATGCTCTGTAAGAACCCATTTAACACACAGTGCAGAGGATAGCATCATGTCTACTGTTCTGGTTTGGACATGAGGTCCCCCCAAAAGCTCCGTTGTTAATGCAGGACTGTTGGAGGTTAAGTGATTGACTGTGAGAGCTGGAACCTAATCAGTCCGTCCCAGTTTGAAGGGCCTTGGTGGTAACTGGAGGTGGGGTGTGTCTGGAGGAGGTGAGTCACTGGGGACATGCCCTGGAAGGACGCATCTCCCCTGTGGCCACTTCCCTCTCTGTTTGTCTCCGGGTCAGCTACGAATGGAGCAGCACTCCTCTACCCTGCCCTTCTGCCGAGATGTGCTGCCTCGCGTGGGCCAGAACAATGCACTCAGCCATCTGTGAACCCAGAACCCTGAGCTCCCAAATAAACCTTTCCTCCTTTAAGTTGTTCTTGACAGGTATTTTGGTTACCTGTCACAAAAGCCGACTAACATCCACCCATAGCATCACAATAGATTGATACAGTAGCCATAGGAGTACCCCCAAATGGCACACTGAAGTGCAGTGTTTTCCTGACTTAGGAACACTCCACCTCAGCAAGATCATGACGTTTATGTACATGTACTAAAAACCATAGTCATGATTGGTGGGCTGAGCAGTCTGCTCTCCAAAGACTCCTGAGCAGTTATCTTGAGCATACCTTTGGCATTCCAGAACTCTCAAGCCAGTCTCGGAAGATGTTTTCAACAGATAGATCCTGCCTTTGAGAAAACAACAAAAAGTAAGGGATTAAAAAGTGACAGCGCTTATTACACAGAATGCTTCCCTCTCAATACTCAGGCACGTCCCAGCATTGTTCTTCCAGAAGGAGATTTTCTTTGGAAAATGAGCAATGCTACCCTGGGTTTAAATGTGAGAGGAAACCTGATCAAATCAGTTCTCTCCCATCAAGCACATTAACTGCATGTGGAAATGAAAGAACCACAAGCACACCACAGTCGCGGGTTTTCACGCTTTCAAAGAAAACTTCTGGGGCCAGGCTGGTGGCACATGCCTATAATCCCAGAAACCCAGAGGCTGAGACATGAGGATTGCAAGTTTGAGGCCTGCCTGAGCAACTTAGTAAGGCCCTAAGCAATTTAGTGAGACACTGTCTCAAAACATAAAAAGCACTGGAGATGTGGCTCAGTGGTTACGTTGAGTCCCCCTCACCAAAAAAAAAAAAGAGATTGAGAGAGAGAGAGAGAGGAAAAGAAAAAGAAACCTTTTGGCTGGGAAAGTCAATTTCGGAGGGTAAGGCATACTCCTAGGACACATTAGTCAGGAGTGCTTCCTAGAGAGCAGTGGAGGAAAGTGAAAACTGAAGAGTAAAGCACTTAGTGCTTCAAATATAAACTTCATTGTAACAAACTTTATAATAACGATTTTTACTGCAACAAGCAAAAATAATGCACACCATTATCAGATCACAGAGAGGCTTAGGTATATGGAATTTGTATAGCTTCCACTATCTAATTTTCAAGTAGGCCAACATCAAATTGGCTCAATTTAAAGATTGCCTGTTACATCAACTGAAAATTTTTTTTTTTTTTTGCTTTCATGCCCTGCTGACTTATCCACTCCTTAAAATTACTAAGTATATATTTAGGAAGGACAGCTCCGAGGTTATATCTTCCCGTCTTCCCTGGCTGATGAAGTTTAAAGCAAACCCATTCCCTTCTTCCCTCTTCTAAATAATTCCTACTCATGCCCAGACTCTCTGCTTACAGAGAGGCCTTCCTGGACTTCTCAGAGACTGAAACAAGTTCTCCCCTGTGCACACAGCACCCACTGTGCTCCCTATCCTCCATGTCACAGCATTCAGCCCAGTTGGCAACTGACAGTCACTCAATCACTTGACTTTCACTGTTTCCTCCCAACAACGAAACTCTCGGGAGCTAATCCAGCACTTAAAACAGTCCCTGGTGTACAAAAGAATTCCTATATAGATTTTTTTTCCTTGAATGAATAAAGACACATTTTCACTGTTAACTCAATAAATATGATTTCTTTTAAAGAGAATATTCACCTTTCCCAGCAAGATGTTCCAAGTTGTTAAGCTCTGTATCTTTTAAAATCTTGCAGACATACACATGCATGTGCACCTGTACACTTCCTCCCTTGCTTTTGGAATTGTGGAAGCAGTTGTGGAAAGATGGTGTTTTCTGCAATGTTAAGGTGCTGGAGGGCCAAGCCCTGCCCCGCTGCCTCATGGGCAGTGTGGAGGAAGGAAAGCAGGAAGGGGCTGGAAAAAGAAGGGATAACTAATTCTGTCTTCCTTTTCTTTTTCCCACTGATCACTGGTGCCCCCTGTCTTCTCTGTCCCAGTAAAAAGTTCAGGATGCTCAAGAAGGCAACCACTGCTATTTCAAAACAGAAAAAATGCAGGGAGGGAAAGAAGACTATGTAGAGAAAGGGGTCAGGATACACATGGACGACGAGGTCCCTCTGTGGGACTACCAGACAGAAGAGAGAGGATAGGATACAAGAGGACAGAGGGATGACACCAGCTCTCTAGGTCATCCCTGGACATGCCTCCCAGGAAACCCAGTGCCACGAGCAATGACTGATTGGCCAGGAAAGGAGAATGTGGCTGGCTGGACACTTAGGGAGCAGCAACACTGAAAAGGTCAGAGAGAAAATGGGTCTCTGACCCCAAATGTGGGCAGGCAAGCTCGAGTTCCCACCGGAGCCTCTGCAGCAGCTCAAAGCCCAGGGCTGCTCAGGGGTACGGGCGGGAACTTGACTCCTTCACCAAATGAAGTATCCTCCCCAGGGGCACAGGTGGAGGCAGTAAGGTGGGGTCCCTGCAGCCATTCTAAACATGGAAAGGTCTTCAGTTTAGCAGTCTTGCTACCACATAAGTGATAAAAATCACTCTTTTCTGCCAGTCTCACACATTTCACTAGGAAATAAAACGACAACAACTTTCCTTAGACACAGGTAGGACAATGTCCTTCACAGACACTGTTTTCAGCCACAGAGGAGATACCGCGCCTGACCTTGTGGGGCAAAACCTCTGTCCCCCATCTTCTTGACACTGAAGAAGCCTGCTCCTGAGCTGAGCTGAGCTGCACGTGGCATCTTGGGAAAGGGGTCTCCTCAGAACCTCCAACACCAAGAACAAGAAGCAGGCTTCGGAAAGGATGTGGAAAGGGCAAGAAGGATGATTCAAGGGCAGGTGCCCTGGGCCCAGGAGGGAGGTCAAGGGAACTGGGATCAAATGTCCTGAAGAAAGACATTTGGGAGGTGACATGATGGCTACGTTCGAGTGACTTTGCAAAAGACAGCGAACAGCTGCTGTGCAGCACTATGGAGGTTGGACATGAGGACAGGACGGGAGTCTCCTGTGAGGAATTTTCACTTACGGACACTTCTCTAAGCGGCCTGGAGAAGAGGCTGCAGTGGAGGGCTGGAATGTCACTGAGAAAGGCCCGAAGCCCTCGCCAGAGCGGGAGGAGGGCAGGAGAACGTCTCTGAGCGGTGGACACTCGACGGAGGTCCACTGGGCCTAGGTCTGCGGAGAGCTGGGATGGAAAACCCAGCAAGCGACTGAGAGACATGTGACAGACACCCGTCTGCGTGCCAGCAGTTCTTGCAAAGCTGGGGCTCAACTGCTGTGGAAAGGGTCCACCTGCCTCTGTGGGACAGGGAAGGAGGACGGTGGGAGGAGCACCGCAGAGATTCTGAAAGGCGACAGTGCCGGAAGTATGTCCTGTCTCAGTGCTGTCTGTCCTGCCCAGGGCAGGAAGGGAAGGGATGCACAGACAGGGAGGGCCAGGCTCCACTCAGCCCAGCTCAGGCAGAAATGAATGAGGGTGTCCTGTGAGGACTTTGGAGGCCCCGCAGCTGAGCCCTAGGCCTGCCACGGAGGCTATGAAGTGGCTGTAGAATGAATGACAGGAGAGCAGGGAGACAAGGAAGAGTACTTGAGGGAGACCGCAGGGGAGGCTGCTGCTATTTCAACAGGAGGCAGTGAGAGGTGAACTGGATGTGGTGTGTCGGGGTAGAGTGGAAGGTGGCATCCAAACAGTCCTGTTGGGGGCCTGGGAGACAGTGTGGCATCCTGGGCTCCATCCATCTCTGCAGGACGACCCTCCACAATCTGTCCATGCCTTGGTTCTGTCACCTCTGAGGCTCTGTTCATTGATGAGTGCTAAGGAGAATTCCGCTTTCCCATATCTGGTGCTTGTGCACATTCAGACATTGTTACACAGCAGCACTAAAAACAAAGCAAACAAAAACTCCTCTACCTCCTCAAAAACTAGGGATGAGACCACCATATGACCCCACTATTCCACTCCTCAGCTAAATCCAAAAAATTTAAATCAGCACGCTACAAGGCACATCGATGTTTATAGCAGTGCAGTTCACAACAGCCAAGCTGGGGAACCAATTTAGGTGCCCATCAACAGACGGAATGATAAAGATAAGGTGGCGCACATACACAATAAGGTTTTACCCAGCCATAAAGATGGATGAAATTATGAATTTTGCTGGTAAATAAATGGAATTGGAGAACACCATGCCAAATGAGATAAGCCAAACTCAGAAAGCCAAGGGTGGAATGTTTCTTGGGTGGGGTGGATACATCTGCAGTAGAGGAAGGAGGATGGTGGGGAGGAGGGACAGGAAAAGGGAAGAATGGTGGAATGAATCTGACCTAACTTTCCTATTAGAGACAGGAGTATACCACAGTGAATCGCACCTTTATGCATATCCACAAGGCACTAATTTTTAAAAAACTACAAATAAATAGAAGAAATTATAAATAAATAGAGTAGAAAAAAGGGAAAAGAGGTATGGTGGAGGGGAGGGCAAAGGAAAGTACTTGGGACTGATTAGAAGGAATTATATTCCACTTCCACATAAAGGCACAGAAGTAGCAGCTACTATTTACTGAACATCTACTGCACACCAGACAAACTTCATCTAAACTTCCAATAACTGCAAGACCAACAATACCGTTTCTGTATTAAAGCTGACCAAATACAGGTTCTGAGAGGTTAGGGAACATGTCCAAGGGCATGCAGGTAGCATCTGCCTGGCCGGGATTCAAACCTAGGCTGGCTGTGAAGCCCTGGCAACTCCTTCTGCTCTAAACTTAGGCCTCAGCATGAGCTGGTCCTGCGTAGGCAGACAATCCTGCAGGAGAGCAGAACCGCCCAGCACCCCAGCTTCTCCCTGTCGCGCTCCTGCAGTAGCTGTGCTGGTTCCAGTCCTCCCACTACCGTTTAGGAGAGGGGAGAGAGCCATGGAAGGGCAGTGGGAGGGCAGGAGTGCTGCCCCCGATGAAGAGGGTATGTTTGCTCAGATCACTTTCTTTTGGGAAGCTGTGAAGCACCTTACACCCAGCATCACGTCCCTCTTCATAACATCCCTGAGAAGTACCGTCCATTGTTGTGTGGTGTTTCCCAGCAGATGGAGAAGCACAGGCAGCACAGGAGGATTCTGGAGAGTCAGCAGCGACAGGCTCCTCAGCTCACAGGCTTGGGGCAGGCAGCCCCAGCACCAAGCTCGCCTGGGGCTGCTAAGGTGGGGTAAGCATTCACTCCTGCTGCTTAAAACCACAGCCCTATGGAAAGGCTGTGGAAGTGGCCTAACCTCCTGGGGAACTGGCCAGAACTGCTGAGAGTACTTAAGTCGGCTTGTAGACAGCAGTGCTGAGGTCAAAAATCGACTTCTACACTTCTGGACATTTGGAGTCCAGGCCAAGGGTAAAGTCTTTCCCTCTGAGATCATGTGGCTTAGATAATCACAATAGAGGAGCAGAAGCATTTCCACCTCGCCAGGACCCAGGACTTACAGGAAATTACTCTTCTGCATGTCTGATCACTATGGAAATTGATTTTACACAGATAGCTAGAAGTACACAGACCCCAGACGGCCAGTCCTCCATCAGCACTTCCCACTGCAGCCTGAGACCGGCCACACCCGCTCCTGGGCCTCCAGGGTATCTGGAGCTGCAGGTGGTTTTACCTGCTGACTGGCTGGCTCCCTGCTGTACTCCCACATCCTAGGGAGCAACTCTGAGTCTCAAGGTCTGACCACCAATCCCTTGGGGCTACCAATGCATCACACTTAGTTAACACAGCGGGGGGAGAGGATATGCTAGCCATCCTGGCAGGATCCTGGTTAGAAAAATAAGCTGTGTTTAAAGCACACAGAGTGTCCAGTTGTTCTCTTCATGATGTTAAAGTAAACAGAAATAAACATTGGCTTGCCTGAAAATGGTACTGCACATGCCTGTATGAGCTGGTTCAGTTGAGTTCTGAGGCTGGGGTGACAAGGATGGGGAGCTGATTATTAGGCACATCTGCTACGTGTGACAGTCAACCTGCTGCTGAGCAAGTGAAGTGCCTTTTTCACTCCTTGCTCTTGCCTTCAACCTCCTGAGATCCTAAAGATCACATTCTGCCTGGTGTGGTGCCCCACACCTATAATAAGGCAAGCGCTCTACCACTGAGCTACAGCCCCAGCCCTTGGCAGGACTTTTGATTCTTAAAAATCCAAATACTGCAATGATAACTTTTTACTAATGACGTCAGCAGTTGGGGAGGCTGACTCAGAAGGATTGCAAGCTCAAAATTAGCGAGGCCCCAAGCAATGCAGTGAGACCCTGTCTCAAAATAAAGAGTAAAAAGGCTGGGGATGTGGCTCAGAGGTAAAGCACCCCTGGGTTTAATCCCTAGTACCAAAAAAAGTAAGAAATAAAAATAAACATCCCATTCTGCCAGCATCTCTTCAGGGAAGCACAAAGCCACTTTCACAAGCACTCCAAGACCCACGGAAGCGACTCTGAAAGTGCAGGGCTTTGGAGCTCGGGCCTGAAATGGGACAGGACCTAGTGCTAAGACGCAACCCACACCCTATGTGGATTTTAAGGTTTTAGTCATCTACATTTTTAAGTCCCCTCTATACACAATGGTTGCAAATAGTGTGCGTCTCAGAGCTTTTGCACACAGTTGCTTATTTTCTTGATGAAAACAAGGCGTTTGTGCTTGGGCATGCCATGACTGCCGATGAGACATTTACAGCAAGAATGCTCCCTAGCTCTGGATGGGGGTGGGTGTACTAAATCAACACCCCCTCCACACACACACACAATGACTGATGGGCAAAGAGAGCACTGGCAGCCGCTGACGACATAGGAACACGAGGTGGCCAGGAACACTGGGCAACGACTCCCCAGGGTGCTCCCCTGCCGGGGAGAATGGCACCTAGCATTTGGCTCTCCTTCCGAGCATTCCTGGTTTTTCTCACCTTATCCCCTCACTGCCATCTTCAAATTCTCTGCCCTTCCACACCCTCTGCTCCATGCTGATTCCAGGGTGTAGAATCCTAACAGCTGCCCTACTATCTGTACAAAGTCACTTCGTGGTCAAGGTCGGGCTCATGCTTGACTCCTCTATTCAACCCTCACAACTAACCAACCAGGCTGCGTGGATGGCACCACTCAAATATTCCTCACGTCTGTTGATTAAGTTCAACACCATGCCACCGTCACCACCTTAGCCGTTACTTCTCCATCTCAAGATCTCCTGGTGTCTAATCTACCCTCCACACTGCCTTCCCAGGGTGTCTTCCAACCTGCGGATGGCACTCCTCCATTGACAGCCTCGGGGGGCCTCTGCCTGCAGCTTGAGGCTAGGACAGGGGAGACCTTTCTCTGCGCCCTCAGGACCCAGAACCTCACAGCCTGCACTGCTCCTAATGGCCTGTTTTGCCCCAGTAATTGGCTACGAGCTTCCTGGGGGCTGCGCCTGGGCCTGGGATTTGTTCTTCTCTGTTTCCCAGCATCCCGCCTAAAACCTGGGATGAGAGACACTCAATAGAGAATGTTAAATAAATGGAAGCAAGAGAACAACACAGGGCTGTGACACAGAGACACTAGCTGACTAGTCCGAGCTGAAAAGCCTTGTTCTGTTCAGAGCAGCTCACGTGCCTAACAGATGTGCACAAGGATCAGTTTGCAACCGGAGCCAAAGATTAGAGGCTCCAGGGGGTAGGTGTGGGGCCTTTGGAGACCTAGATAAAATTGGTACAATATGTTGCATAGGTAATAGGATAAACAGTCAGTTTTAATAGCTAAACTAGATTCTGAGATTAGTTAGCACGCAAAATGATGTTTAAGTCTTAAAAATATATTCCAGTATACTGGCTAAAGTAGATTCATGGTAAAAATGAAATCACCTTAACTTTTAAGTAGAGTTTTTAGAAAGAGGCCTAAACATGCTAGGGAAAACACAAAAGTAGGAGAGGTAGCCCAGCAAAGGCCATGTGGTCGGTGGCCACATTGAGACAGGGACGCTGCTCTTAACTTCCACAATTACAACCAAAATCTCTTTGTGGGCCCCATGTGTTGACTCAATAAATATTCACAAGATAAAATCCAGGTCCCAGAGCCAGAGGGCTCAGGGGCCATCCAAATGAACTCCATAACCTTATTATGAAGAAGATTAAAAGAGAGACCTCCCAAACTAAAAATGCACTTTGTTGCTTCAGTGAAAATTGCTATATTTATGCTCTAAGAAGTTCTGAAAGAATGTGTGGTTATCACACAGAACAGAGTCTGGTAACAGCCCAAGGAGGTAAGACACCATGCCTGTGAATTTTCTTTTCTTTTCCTTTTTAAAGAAAACTGCTCCATTCTATTATAGGACCCGAAAAAGTTATTTTGGGGTAGGTACAAAAAAAAAATGGGGGAGAGGAGAATATACATTTTGCAGGTTATTCTTGATCTTAAGAATACTGGCCACATCTGATGTGATTTTTGCATGAAGAAAAGCCCATATGTCTACTTAAAAAAAAAAAAAAAAAAAAAAGGATGGCAAATCTGAAACATTTAAGACCTTCCAAAACAAGGCATGGATCTCCAGCAGCATCCTGAGCCGCTGAGTGTCTTGGCCAATGACTAAGGCCTCCTGCAAGCTCCACCAGCTGCAAATGGAGCTGCAGAGACAAGGAGGTCACCAAATAGGACGGACACGTTAACTCTGTGGTGCACTGGCTTCCTTTATGTGTGTTTCTACTGTTAAAAAAAGAAAAGGACTCATAATAACCCTCTCACCTGCTGAGGAATGAGTTTGGAGTCTTCCTTAACGGAAGGTGGAATAAGGGGGAGTCTAAACAAAAATAGGCCAGGCAAAAATCCAATATTTGGAAAAAAATCTCCACATCCGCATGGGCCTGGGTCCTCTCCTGAATTTTCATGTCATTGCCTGCACCCAGTCTGACAGCATAAGCCCAGACACCTTACCCTGAGACACCCAATTTAGAAAGCATGTAAAAGCAGCTCGTCAACATGTAGGTGACTGGTCCTGCATGAATCTGACTCATCTGTGTTAAAGAATTCATTTCCACAATTGGAAATCTGTTATGTGCATAAAAACACAGTTAAATCTGCAGGTCAGAAAGGAGGAGAGTAATGTCAGGTCAGAAAGGAGGAGAGTAATGTCAGCTCTTTTTTAAAGAGACACTTAATTTTTCAAGATGTCCCTCTTTAATGTCTGAATATCAGTCTTGCTACTGGAAACAGTTTCAGGGTATTTATTTGCAGGGTCCAAGTTAAGATAAAAAATATAAGAAGTAAAAATTGGAATGAATATAGTCTACCTAAAACATGGGTCTGAAACCTCCTCTACAAACCCCGTGGGAGGTTGGCAGCCTACAACTGAACACTTGCAAGGATGAGAATCTCCTCCCTTCAGGACAGTGGGCTCGTACTGAGCAGCACACAGAGGAGAGGGAGTGAGAATGACACAGACCAGCTCCAGGCTGTGCTATCTCGCCCGCTAAGGGGGTGTGGAAAAGCCACTCCATCCTGGAGCCCCAGTTTCCCCACTGGCAATATAGTGGGTAAGAGGACAGACTCTAGAGCCAGATGCTTGGGCTCAGATCCCAGCCCTGCCACATACTGCCATGAAATTCAGGCTTGGTACCCTGACCTCTTCTTGGTAAAACTGGGATAAATATACAATTACCAAAGAGTGTTGTTTTGAGGATTAAATGGCTATCTTCATGAAATAAACTCCCAATAAATGCTGGCTTCTCACCACCCCTGGATGGTGATGTCAGTGAAGAGTGCCAGGGTCGAATGGTCTGTACACACCGCCTCTGGATGCTCTTAAAGTGAGGATATGGCGACTATGTTGGTCACTGACAAGCCTCAGCAGTGAAGGTGGAGAACAAACGTGGAGGGAGGAAGTGACCCACTCTAAGCTTCACAGGAGGAACAGCAGACCTGGTTTAGAACCTACCAGGGCCTGACTTCACCACTCACCTCCAACTCAAGTGTCCCCGTTAGTAGGCCACATTACTGGAGGCACCTCCATTTTCAAAACTTTCTTCTCCACTGTTCTTTTCCACAGCAGTTGAGACCACAGATTGTCTTTGTTTGCCTCCTAAAACACTTTTGGGACTCCAACTCTGGGAATCTCAGGTGTACACACTGGCCTCCACTGTCCACTTGGGCCTATCCCAAAGTATGATTGTCTATCCAGTGACTCCACTGGTTGAGCCAGGGCCTTGGTAAGAGAGGAAAACTGAACTTCTAGGAAGTAACAAGCCAAACAATGGTAGGGTCATTCTTAACAGTAAAAGTAAAACTGGGCTCTTAATTCCTAAGTTGGACCTTACCTTTTTTCTTCTGGGATGCTCTCCAGCAGCATTTGAAGGAAATCCTGGAATAAGAAAAAAGAAAACCATTAAAGATGTCCATCAGTAAGTAACTGCCAGAACCATGCCAGAGACTGAGCCTTCCCAGCTGCTGATAGCTCACCTGCTAGCCCAGCAAGACTAGGCAACTTATCAGACTGTATACTCAATTTACTGACTTCCCAGCACTTCAGTCCAGTCACTTAGAGAGATTAGTTTTTAAAAACCATAAACGAGTTGAAAAACATAATGCTTGTTATTCTGACCTACCCCCGACAGTTTATTTGGTGTTTAATGCTTTCAAAAGCTGCCAGGGTATCGAGTGTCCTCCCTCCCTACTCACCCATGTCCTCTCCTCAGGAGCTTTCCTGGATAACCCGTGAACAACCTACGTTTGCAGAGGCTGGAAACTAACTTGCAACTCGCCTGCATTGTTCCGAGGAAAGATAACAAAAGTCAAGTTGATAAACATGTCGATCAAGGAACAAAGATGTCCACAATTCTGAACACACTGGAGAAGCTCTTGTCTCCACCCACAGCCTCTTCTCCTATCACTGCACAAACCTCAGTTGCTGGACATCTGAGATGCTTACATGATAGAATTCCTTAACCTAAGGCAAGACTGATGACTGTCTCTCTCTGTCTCATTTTTTTATGTGAAAATTTCAAACACAATAAAAAAGTATGCAGAATAGGATAAGTAGCCTTCACATTCACCAACCCACAGCCAGTCCTGCCCCCTGACTTCCCTGCCTCTTGCATTTATAAGCAAATCCCAAATATTACATAATTTTATCAACATATGTTCTACTAAATATCTCTAAAAGTTAAGGACTCTTTTAAAACATAAGGCCTACACAATTCAAATATGAACGATCGTTTATATTTAATTTGTACCTTGTGTATTGTAACCCAACTTCTCAGCCCATCTCTCTTAGAATTTGATTTAATCTTGATTGGTGGTGTTAGATAAAATACAGAATGTCCAGTTAAACTGGGGGCATAAATATGCAAAAATATATATTTTTATATATTTACTGAAATTCAAATTTGGCTACATTTTTCTATTCTGTACTTTTATTTGCTATGTGGGCAACCCTAGGGTCCACTTTCATCATCTGAATGCTGAACAAGATACATTTTAGAGAACTATAAACATGAAACAAAGAACAATATTTAACTTTCTGGAAACCTGATAATATTGAACAACAAAGAAGATCTACACTAGGAGTTTTTAACAAAAAATGGGTCCTTGAAAGGGTCAGTCCAGGTGACCTACTATGCATGTGGCAAATGAGAGTCCCTCCTGACCAAAGCCCACCCAGTGCTCTGACTGTGCTGCTGCTCTCCCCACCAGGAAACGGAAGGACTCGCAGGGCAGGAGGAACCTGCAATCTGTAGGGTGAGGAGTTCTTTTCCTAATCCCACACAAGCATCCAATTAGAAATGAATGAGACCCAGGGCCTCACGCGTGCAAGGCAAGCGTTCTATCACTGAGCTACAACCCCAGCCCTTGGCAGGACTTTTGATTTTTAAAAATCCAAATACTGCAATGATAACTTTTTACTAATGACGTCATCATCTCCTGTAGCCCACACCGGCTTACCCCATATTTGCCTGGTAATTTATACTCAATTATGTGGGAAAAATTCCATTAACTTAACAAGGGGGAGAATTTAATTGCATGAGAAGCAGGAAATTTTCAGAGTTAACCTTAGTTCTGCCCTTTTGCATTTTCCAATTATAGCTGGGTCCTGTCTGTGCAGGAATGTGAAGTGCAACAATCCTGAATTCCGTGGGAACACAGGACGTTCCCTGGAAGCCCTGCTCCACTTTTAAAGAAAGATGGTTTTCCTGCTCCTGGCAGGTCACCATTCTAGAGAATCTGCCGCTTCCTGCCTCCAAGGTGAGGTCTGCAGGCAACACAGCAGCTGGCCAGAGGCTGCCAGTGACTGCCGGGGTCACACACCCACCCCCTGGCATCTGTGGGAACGTCCCAGCTGCAGAGCTGGATGGTCCTCCATCCTGCAGGCAGGCCATGGCGCTACAAGGCTCTGGGTTCTCAGGTAGGCAGTCCTGTGCATCTATCGACAGAATCGGCCCAGCCAGCCCTTCTTACTCCTTCCCGAGACCCAAAATTTAAACACAAAACACTGGTTTTTCTGCTTCCTCTTGTAAAATGGCGTACACCCTGGAGTAGACTCTTCTTTCACCAAAACACCATGAAATAAACAGAATTGTGCCTCTTAAGATTGATTTCCCCTTGCTGCTTCTCTTCAGTTCTTTCATCTCTCCCCACTCTTTCCTTCAGTGGCTGGCAGTTTTCTGAAAGCAACTTCGAAATCTAATTGGACAATGAGGGCTGTCCCTCACAGCTCATTCTGGCACCACCAGGCAAATCAGTTAGCAACAAATAGGAGGGTCCCAGTGGGTCACCTCTACAGCACGCCTGAGAATAAACACCTCTGTCACTGGAGAGGGACATGGGTTGAAACTGAATCTGAGTCCCTGGCAATGGTTCCAAGTCCAGGCCACAGTTAGAAATAACACATTCCTTGAGATTTCGGTTTTCAAACCCTACTCTCCCTATAATCTATATGCTAATTAGATCAGTCCCAGACAGCTTGTTTTGATTAACACCTAACAACACTAAATTAAGCATTACAATTTTTAGAAAACTAACACTGATTTTGGCACATGGCTAATTTGGTAATTATTTTTTAGTTCTGGTGAAAGTATTCAATAAAAAGCAGGCGCATATAGATTCTCCTGGATAAACTGACACTGGCTTGACAAGTACACAGGATTAATAACCCCTAACAATGTCTAATGAATGATTACTATGGTCATGGGTGGGCAAGAAAGGCAAAGCAAATAATCAAAATGCTGAAGCAAGGACAGGATTGGCCGAGTCAGAGAAGAAACAAGATTGAGCGGAATCAGTCACTGTCATGCTTACGAGGGATTCAATGGCAGCTAGAAGGGTGGTCAAACTGAAATGCTGGCAGGTGCGGGTCATAGAAGGGGAAGGAAGAAGTAAGGCAAAAGAGGAAGACACTGAGGGGCTTCTGCATAAGGAAACTGGATCACAATTCTTCCTTATCAATAACTAAAAAGCAATGTAAGTTAAGATACAATCCATTAAAAATATGTATTTGAAAAGCTTGGCATCTATAGTGATGCAGCTGCATCCATGTTCACAGTAGCTCAATTCACAATAGCAGCTAGGTGCCCTTCAACAGATGAGTGGATAAAGAAAATGTGGTATATATATACACAATGGAATATTACTCAGCCATAAAGAAGAATGAAATTATGGTATTTGCTGGTAAATGGATAGAACTAGAGATTATCATGCTAAGTAAAATAAGCCAGTCCCCAAAAAAACAAAGGCCAAAAATTCTCTCTGATATGAGGATGCTGCTGACTCATAACTGGCATGGGGGTGGTGGTGTGTGGGTTCAATGGATTGAATGTGGGGGGAATGGGGGAAAGGGATGGGGAACGGGAATGGAAAAGACAGCTGAATGAACGGGGCATCACTTTCCTATGTTCATATATGAATACATGACCAGTGTACTTCCACATCATGCATGACCATAAGAATGGCAAGGTGTGGAGGGACTGGAAATGCATGCTGGAGAGAGGAGCAAAACGTGGGACGCCAACCTCTGTGAGGACCCCGATGAGCAGCGGAGCTCGAAGCTCCAATGGAGCCGAGGAACAAGCATCACCCAGAGAAGCCTGCGGTGGGGAAGGCTATGCCCTATCAGGTCACGAGACTCTTGGCAAGGGGACACTTAATACATCTGCGGGAGACACAGGGCCAGTTCTCCAACAAAGGCCGGCTAGGGCCACAGCAGAGTCCGCCTCCGCCCTCCTCCACGCACAGAGGCCGACGCTCAAACTGCAGCTCAGAGGGGAAAAAAGCAAGCCCAAGAAGAGTGGGGAAAGGAGGCAAGGATCGTGTTCCCCATATATGAGAATTCACAGGAAAGGTCCTGCAACTGTGTGAACTAACATGACAACCCACCAAAGAGACAGATAGAAGCAACACACCTAAGAGACCAAGAATCTAGGCTTCACGAAAACATGGCCCAAGGAAAAGAAGAAAATGTTCCACGAATGCTTAACACTATAAAATAAATTACCAAAAACACAAAATAAGCTCAGTAAAATGAAAGCAGAAAGATGACAAAACAACAAAGGGTGAAGAAAAGAGAGGTTCCAAAACAAAGGAAATAAATTAAGGGCCAAAATCCCATCCGTATGAGATATTAATGAGGTAGGAATGGCGATGAAAAGAACAGCACTCGGGAAGACAGTGCTGATAATAAAAGGGGCAGCTTGATAGGAGCCCAGGCTGTCAAGAAGAAAAAGATAAGAAGCAATTCATAAATAATAGGCATGGAGGACAAAGAAGACACGACACAGGGACAACTGGCAAGTCTGAAATTCAGAACCTGTAGGCGGACAATCACATTCAGAGATAAAATTAAGACAATTTCAATAAAGGATAGAACTATGGTTTAAAAATGTAGCTGTTTTTGGTGGGTGGAGGGAAGGGGAACAACCCAAGACCATGGGCACCAACCTGTTTTCTCAATAAATTACTAAACTTCAAAGATAATGAGTTCTTCTGCCATCTAAGTGGTCTAAAAGGAGAAAAGTAGGTTAATTTCAATGGTTTCTACAGCATTAATACCAGAAGGCAGTGGAGCAATGTCTGAAGTTCGGCAGAATGGAAATGTGTCCCAGAATATGAAACCAGTTTGTAATTCAAATATAGCCAACACGCCAGCATCCTCAAGCAGGAAGAACTCAGAAGTCACACAGGCTGGGAGATGGCAACTTGAACACCAAGTTATTATTGAAATTTGGCCAACAAAGAGTTGAATCAAAATAAAATATTCATGAATATAGAAGCACAGTAAAATGACTGGTGACAAACACTGAAATCCTTTACTCACAGAGCTGAAACTATATAATTGGCTGTGCACAGTGGTGCCTGCCTGTATTCCCCGCAACGTGGGAGGCTGAGGCAGGAGGATCACAAGTCCGAGGCTAGCCTGACCATCTTAGCAAGATACTCTCTCAAAACCAAATAAACCAAAAGCTACACAACTGTGAAAAGTATGGTTACAGTGTATACTGTGAATAAACTATAAACCTCACTCTATAATAATAAAAATTAAGAAAAATTTAGAACTAGGAGAAGTAGTGGAAGTTTATAACTGCTGATTTCCTTAACTTTCATAATAGTGAATAAGCTGATGCTCTATAAGATGAAATATGTAAGGAGAAAATAACAATTTCAACCTTTTAACAAATTTTTTTCTGTAGTAATGTTTCTTAACCATAGAAGAATCTTTGAGGAAATGATCTCTCTTACATTAATCTGAAGTTTAGAAAGTTCTTTACCTTCCCTTTAGTTTCTTTTTCATTTATCAAGTTTTAGAGAAAGAAATTTGAAACAGTTCATTAAAAAATATATACAGGGGCTAGGGATGTAACACAATAGTAGAATGCTTGCCTAGTGTGGGTGAGGCCCCAGGTTTATCCCCAGTACTGGGTGGGGAAATATCCATACATATGCATACATATACATATATATTCCTACTGTTATAAAATTATTTTGAGCAATTCCTATCCACATGTACATAAACATATAACACATATATATATATACAATCTTCCAGGTGTATACATACCTCACATAGAGCAGATAGAGAGAGAAACAGTATGGCTTATAAAACGGTAGTAACATAATATCAATTGTAGGCATTTCTGGGTGGTGGGAATTTTAATGATGACTGATCTCCTTTGTACCTTTCTGTATTGCTTGAATTTCTATAGTGAGTATGTTGTAAAAGCAGTATTTCCAAATTTAATACAAAGATACAGTAATTAAGGAGCTGTGGTACTGGCATGAAGACAGAAATAGTGATAAGTGGAATTGAATTAGAGTACAGAAACAAACCCTTACATTAACGGTCAAAGGGTTTTTGCAAAGGTTCTAAGATAATTCAATGGAGGGAAAGGATGGCCTTTTCATGAAATGGTAGGGGACAACTAGATACATGCAAAACAATGAAGTTGGATATCATCTTCACATCTTATACAAAAATCAGAGCCCTAAACATAAGAGCTAAAACCATGAAACTTAGAAGAAAACAGAAGTAGATCTTCACAAACTTCAATCAAACAGTAGTTTCTTAAGATACGACACATCCAAAACCCAAGCAATCAAAGAGAAAATAGAAAATTTGACTTGTCAAAATTAAAAACTCTTTGCTGTAAAGAACACTATCAAGAAAGCAAAAATACAATGCATAAAACCAGAAAATACTGGGGCTGGGTTTGTGGCTCAGTGATAGAGTGCTCACGGAACATACATGAGGCTCTGGGTTCAATTCTTAGTACCACATAAAAATAAAATAAATATATTGTGTCTACCTAAAACTAAAAAAAATAAATATTTAAAAAAACCAGAAAACGTTTGCAAATCATATCTGATAAGGGACTTCTGTTCAGAACATATGAACTATTCTTATAACTCAATAATAAAATACAACCCAAATAAGGAATGGTCAAAGGATATGAACCGACATTTTTCCAAAATAGACACATGAGTGGTCGATAAACACATAAAGAACGCTTGACATCATTAAGCCATGAGAGAAACGCAGATCAAAGCTATTGGGAGATAATTTCAGACCCATAGGGAAGATATAATTTCAGACCCATTATCAAAAGACGGAAGGCAACCAGCATTGGCAAGCGTGGAGAAACCAGAACCCTCAGCAGGTGGAATGTAAAACGCCCTAGTCTCTGTGGAAATAATCTAGCAGCTCCTCAAAAACCCAGAGAACTACCACGTGGCCCACCAATCCCACTTCTGTGTATATGCTCCAAAGAACTGAGAGGAAGTTCTGCCTGCTACAAGGTAGGTGGCCCTGAAGACATGACGCTAGGTGAGTAAGCCAGACACCAAGGACACCTGATGGTCAGTTCTTCTCACATGAAGCACCTACAGTAATCAAATTCACAGAAACAGAAAAAAGAATGGTGGTTGCCAGAGCCTGGGGCTGGGAAGAGCAGGGAGGCACTGTTCAGTGGGTTCAGAGCTTCAGTTTGGAAAGATGAAGATGGAGAGGGATGATGGTGATCATTGGGGAAAAAAAAGTGAATGCACTTAATTCCACTGAATCATTCACTTAAAATGGCTAAAATGATAAGTTTTATGTACGTTACCACAATTAACACAATTAAAACTAGGCAACTTCTTGGAAGGCAGAGGCAGGAGTTCAAGACCAGCCTGAACAACAGAGTAAGGCCCCATCTCAAAAAAAGAAAACAAACAAAACGAAACAGGAGTGATGTCCTGGTACATGCTACACAACCCCTGAAAACATGCTGCATGAACTAAAGTCAGACACCCAAGACCACGTGGTTCATTTCTATGAAATGTCCAGAAGGGACCAATCCCCAGAGACAGAGCAGAGAGTGTCAGCAGAAAGGGTGGACGGGGAAGCGAGTGCTGATGATTTCTTTCGGGGTTGATGAAAATGTTCTAAAATTAGATCATGCTGAGGGCTGCACAATCACAAGCTTGCACATTTCTAAAGGCTAAATTTTATAGCATGTGAATTTTATCTCAATAAACTTGTTATGGAAAAACAAAGTTATTCAAAAGAGATAAAAGAAAAACTGAATGAGCTGGCTGAGAGAGCAGCAGGAGTTCATGGGAAATGAAGCCAGAACCTCAGTGGTCACAGGAAGTCCCACACACGGTGGGAGCATCTTGGCGAGAAATGGCTGAAGCGGCAGGACCTGGACCCATCAGAGCCAACCAAGTAGGCGAGGAGTCTAAATCTGTTTTGAACTGCCTTCCTAACTACGGGAGAATCGCCTCCTCAAGACACCAAAAAGATTAAAAGAGCACAGGGCTTGGATGTCAGTCTTGCCCTCCTCAGTGTGTCAGGTTATAGTCACACACCCTTTCCCTCTCATGCTGCGGATGATGCGACTCACAGCCGTGTCTGAACACAACGATCAAAGACACCCTCTGTCCAACCCCTGCCAACGTGAGCACTGTTCTCAGAGCTCTCACCGTTAGCTCCTTGCCAGGTGCCGCTCACCCCACACCCACGGGAATGGACAGGGTCTCTTTCCGACTGTCTTGGGGCCAGGCTGTCTGATGTTTCAGGGTGTCTTCCTTTTAATCTGTTTATTAAAGATTTACAGCATACCTACTGTGTGCCAGACTGTACTAAATACATGTTGGCCTACATGAGCTCATACATAAAGAGAAGGAACAGACAAGAGACAGTGCTATCATGAAAATACAATACAGATAATGGGAATGACATTAAGGGCAACAAAAGAAAAGCGGCTGATGACATCTGCTCAGCTAGGGTGGCTCTGAAGTCCTGGCATCAAGTGCAGACTGAAGGGTAAGATTTCGATAATGAACCCCGCAGAGACGACTCCAGGAAGAAGGAATGCTTGTTTTGTTGTTAAGATCACTCAGGGGACAGCCATTTGCATCACTGTGCTCAGACGGCTTCAGGTGGGTCTGTCCCCCAGTTGCAAGGAGCTCACCCTCCCCGAAAACACCTTCCTTGTGTCCACTGTGTTCATAATTTCCACCCTGAATGAAATAGTCAATCTTTTCCCTCTTTGAACGCTGGCATAATCCAAACTCCACATGCCGCATCCCCTTCAGTTGCATATCATGAGCCCAAGAACCCGTCAATTACCTGGGAGAGAATCAACTGTCCATGAAACGTGTGCACAAATTTTCTTAAAAATGAAAAGTAGGTTTCACTTCCAAGTCTTTTGGCAAGGAACCGAAGAAGAAAGTAGCCCTACAAGAAAGAAAGAAGAGAGAAAACAAGATGTCCATGATGGGCCCTTCACAGAATTGCCACTGTCACTTAGCCCCGGAGCCCAGGTGCACCTAGCAGGTGCCACCTCACTGTCCTAGGCTGCCCTTTATATTCTGACCAGGAGGATGCACTGCTGAGTCCTCAACTCCTTCCTCAACGTTTCACTGTCTGTTCTGACTTGGTTCAGGTGGCACCTGAGCGTCCCTCGTGACCTGCAAGGGCAGAGGTCCAGCTCCTCCCCACCTCAGCTCCCAGCATGGTCTTTCCAACTTGGAAGTTTTCCTTACTGCTCCTCCTCTGGTTGGAACCTGAGAGCAAATGGAAGGTTCTATTCTTCAAGGCTAACTGGAAGCCAGGGAGAAGAGGTTCGGGGCAGGGACTCTCCAAGCTTCCTTTGATTCACGCCCCCTTGTTCAGCGGTAGTAAGTGCTTTAATTAGAGGACATTCGGATGCTCCCCAGACAGACGGCATTACAACATTCATAATTTTTCTGCTTTTGCTCAACCATGTTACTAATCATCATTATTCAACTGTATATCCTAAATAATGCTGCCCCAGAATAACTGGCTTGAGCCACTAGCTGCACTCACCTTTAGATAATGAACCTGCATGAAGATCTTCTCAGGGTTGAGTCCATGTTTGACCACAGATGCTCCCGAGTCGCTCACCTGGCCAGTTTTCTCTTTACTGGGTCTAAAATGATAACAGTAACAATTTCTTTAAGTATACATATACATCTGTAACTAATTAAAAATAAAATCATCCTATTCCTATCTCCAGAGTTGCTCAAAAGAGTTTTAATTCAATTCAATAGTACCAGGTATAATTTAAAAGAGTTTATATTATAAATTTGAATAGTGAACAAGGTGGGACTTATATTTAAGGTTGGCAACCTGAGGTTGGCTACTGGCAGTATTTTATGTCATCCTATCCAAGATAAAATGTGCCAGACCCTCAAAGAATCCAAGCTTCAATATGAATTATTTAAGATGCCCTTTCTTGGTGGGAATGATGAACTGGGTAATTAAAATATATTTTAAATATGTATTCAAATATATTTTTAAAATTTGTTTTTGAAAGTCTCAATGTTTATCCACGTCTCTAGGTCTGTATTTAATAATTAAGGCTCCTTTAAGAAATATTTGCATTCTGAACCCATTTTAGAACTTTTTAAAGGTCAAAGAAGTTCCTGGTTTTTGAAGTGATGGAGACTTTAGTAATCACACACTTCAACCTCTCATTTCGCCAAGGAAGGAAACTGAGGCAAACAGAAGTCTCAGGTTTGTTTGGATTTGCCAAGGCCTGGGGTCAGCATCACTTATGACCCAGCAGGCTCTTTACCACTGTGCTCTTGGTTTTAAATATTTTTTAAAAATTCCTTTAATGAAATATGACAGGCCCTTTGGGACATCTAATAAATACTTGTGCACTATGTTAGAGTTAAGCTTCAGTAGCCAGGTAAACTCCAAGTTAGTGACAAGGCACATGCAGCTCTCGGCTGTTCTGAGCTCAGTCACCGACTGGATAAATACTGAGGGGTGTTTTGAGGCTGGGGTTTGGAAGAGATGAAGAGGACTGGCACATCAGAAAGAAGGGACGTTATTTTTAAAAAGGCAGGCTTACTTGGTACAAGATACAAGGCCTTTGGAATATAAAAGTCCTACTTTTAAAATTAGCCTTCTTCTTACGAACGGTTAGTTGCTAGCAGGTTATTCAAATTCTCTAACCCCTGTTTACTCACCAGTAAAATGAAATGATCCTACCTTCCTTCCTAGGTTCTGTGGAAATAATATATTACAAAGTCTCTAGCAAGGGCCAGAGATTACTCAATAAATTCAATAAAATATTGTAACTGCTTTAGCACAAAGATTCTCATCATTGAGTCTTAGTTGAATGTTCCAGAAAATTATCCTGGAAGATACATGGCTCAAAACCAGCAGATGACAAAATGAAGATGAAGAGGACGGATCCCTTGAATCACTACAGAGCTGTAGCATCTGCAGCACACCTGTAGGGACAGTGAGTGCCTGTACCGCACCTGAAACGGCAGACACACAGCAGCTCTTCCCCACACCAAGTGCACCCTGCGGTGAAGCAGTGTCATGAAGAAAGCCACCCCAGTTCTCACAGGAGCCCATCACCTGCAATCAGGGAAGGGTGGCTTCTCCAGAGTCAACCTGGAGCCAGGCATGGTGGCACATGCCACTGTCAGCTAAGTAACAGAAGTCAGACCACAAAGACTACATGCACAGCCCAGCCCCTCCCAGAGGCTGAAGCAAGAACAGCCTCAAGGCCAGTTCAAGGCCAGCCTGGGCAACTTAGCAAGACCTTGTCTCAAATGAAAAATAAAAAGGGTTGGGGATGTGGCTCAGTGGTAGAACACTTCCGAGTTCCATCTCCAGTACTGAAAAAAAATAAGAGTCAACCTGAATTTGAATCTGGTTGCCCAGCTCCAAGAGAGGCGGGGCTGAGTTCTTCTGCCCTGCAGCTCTGAACTGAGGCTGCTGGAGGGGAGGGATCAAGACCAGACTGCTATGCTCCAGGCAGGCTGCAGGCAGGCTCCAGGCTCCAGTTCCCCAGCACGCCTGAGTGGCTATTTCCTTTGCCTAAAAATGTCCTTCCCCAATGCCTGCCTTCCTCTCCCACCCTCTCTCCCCACCCTCTCCAAATGAAGACGTGCTCAAGGAAATTCTTTTATGCTGACAGCACCAAGGCAAAAGTGCCCCAGAGTCTCCTTTTAAAGTAGACTGGGAGCTGAGCGAGCAGTGCACAGGCACGCTCTGTGAGACCAAAGGGTGGTTTGTGAGAAGAAAATCCACGCTGGGAACAGGAAACTCTCCCTGGGTTCTCAGGACACTACTTACCCTAGGTCCATGCAGAGTCAGCCTGGAGAATGCAGGAGACCCATGACCCACGACCCCACTCAATAACATACATGAACCTTACAGGCGAGTGACCAAAGTCAGACCCGCAAAGAGCACGCAAAAATGTACGATCCATTTTGATGAAGTTCAAGAATGGGCAAGACTGACCTTTGGTGACACAGAGGGGCACAGTGGCTGTCTTTGGGCAGGAGGACTGGCAGGGAGAGGGGGTTCCTGGGCTGCTGGGCTGCTCTGCAGACTACTTACTCTTCAGTCGGCTTTATGCATATAAATAGTACGATCCTTTCAACTACCTAGGAAAGCTTTCTGCTCCTTGGTGTATGGATGTTGAATTTCAATTAAAAAGTAGATACACCTAAAGTGGCATATTCTGTGAGACTAGAGGGAAATCAGCCTGGAGAAGGCTTCGCTGCTGTGTCTGAAACACAGGACTCTGCACACCGAGGATGGGGACTCTCCCACCCGTGGCCGGGTGCTCCACCACTGAGCTATGTCCCCAGCCCATTCTCTTTTTTGAGACAAGTCTTTCTAAGTTGCTTAGGCTGGCCTCAAACTTTGATGCTCCTGCCTTAGCCTCCCAAGTAGCTGAGATGACAGGTGTACACCACCACACCCAGCTGATGAAATATTTTTTAAAATGATAACATGAGAGGAAGGAAGGACTGTGGCAATTCTAATTGTCTCAGAATCTACTCCAGTCTTCTGCCTTCTTCCACACCACCAGTACAAATGATTCTGAAAAGCTAAGCACCCATTTTCTGAGTGCCCCTCGGAAGCCAGAAGACACAGCCCAAGTCAGAGACAAAAGCTGTTATCTGCAGTGGCTGGAGGTGGGGTCTGGAAAAGTTGTCCTTCATCTTATAAAAGAGGAAAAGGTGACTACTACTGCTCTTCTTCTCCCCAGACATGAGGGATGGAACTTAGCCGCCATTTTGAGACCACGAAGAGGCAAACCAGCATGCTGGGGAGGATAGAAGGGGATGAAAGAGAGGAGCATGATGCATTCAGCTCCCGTCCAGCCCAGGACTGCCTGCTCTTTACTCCTTACTATGAGAATGATAACGACCATTCGTTTACATCAACACTGCTTTCCTATTCCACTAACTGAAGCCACATGCATTCCTAATAGATGGAAACCTGGGTGCGGACTAACAGCCCCCGGTTCTGAGGCATCTCCCTGCCAGTACGCTTCCCAAGAATCATGTTCTCCACTTCACAAGGGCCTGTTGAGGCAAGGATGTGACCACGGCCATTAAGTTGAAGAAACTGAGAACCTATAGAAGACTCCAGAGCTGGCTAGTAGCAGAATATCAAGAGGGAAGCCAAGTCCACAGGCCACCAAAGGGCATGTGTACTCTGGGGTCTCCCCAAGAAATGGGACCCCATTGTGGCCATGCCAAATACCAAGTAGAGAGACTGTGAGGAATTGTCACCTCTCTAAAGCCATTTATTCACCTGTAAGTCTAGGATGGGGCTCAGGCACTACGGAAGCATTGTGTAAAGGCAGCGGTGGGTTAACTCTGGGAACTGGACTCTGTCCTTACTTCATTGGCTGGAATCTACACAATGCAATGTGGGAGGTCAAGTTACCAAGGTCATGGGGACTCTAGTGCCCTGGACTTTTGAAGTGCCAGAGGCAAGGCCTGAGAGACATGATCCCCTCTCTCCAGCCATGCTTCCCTGCTGCAAGCACAGAAGCATGTGGACCTTTAAAGAGCAGGCAGGTGGTAATAGTATTTGGGACACACTGATTTGATTTGGAACCAAGCCTTTCGACAAGAGCACCAACCCTGCAGGACCATCGCCAAGGGTGGAGTGTGGGAAAATGCCTCTGAAAGGTGCACAGACCTGTCAGCTGGCTCTGAACACCCAGGACACTGCCCAGCCCAGATAGGCCGTCTGCCATCATGCTCTTCCACACTCCTGACAGCTGGTGTGAGAGCCACCAGACCTCTGCCTCTACACTCACAAGCGCCCTGCTTGAGCCAGGATTGAGTAGCCTACTTACAGGAAAGAAGGGAATTCATCAGCATCTCAACCTCCCTGCTGCCCAATGGCTGCCCCAAGAGCGGGCAGAGCCTTACTCACCTACCCTCCCGTGGAAACTAGTCCCGTAGGGTCCACCTGGCCGCAAATGACCAAGGAAGCGGCATAACATGCTGGCTAAGAGCCTGGGCATGAATCTTGCCCCCCCATGGGCCCAGTTCCTTCCTCTGTAAAAGGGGCGAGTGGGAGTTTCTTCGGAACCTCCAGGGGCTGTGTGGTGTCTGGGAGCACTGAGCCAGAGCTCTTGCCAGCACTGGGGAAGCACTGTGTACGCATTGTCATCACAGGACTGTGCATCCTTCCCAGGCTCAGAAGAAGCAGCTAAACATTCCTGTGCTGGGAAAAGACCTTGAAAAGATGAGAAATCGGCTCACAGGTGGGGTGTTATCAGGAGCCAGCAGGGAAGGAGACACAGGGACTCTATCACTAGGGCAACAACTCTTTTGCAGGGTGGGGGGGAGCAGTACCTGGGAATTAACCCAGCGGTGCTGAAACACTGAGGTACAGCCCCAGCTCTTTCTATTTAAGTTTTTAAAATTTTGAGACGGGGGTCTCACTAAGTTGCTTAGAGCCTCACTAAGTTTCTGAGGATGATGGCCTTGGACTTGGGATCCTCCTGTCTCAGCTTGCTGAGTCACTGGGATCACAGGCATGAGTCACTATGCCTGGTTGGGGCAACTTCTTGAGAGACTAAAACTATTCCAAAAGAAAAAGCTTTCTTTTTTCTTTTCTCTCTCTCTCTCTCTCTCTCTCTCTCTCTTA